ATAGCTATCGGCCTCACCAGTGAAATCTTGTGTGAGATGAGAGTCTTTGTGTGAATGATTTGTTGTTATTGTTATGGCTGGCAGCAGTGGAGGCTTTGCTCTGTGTGTGTGAGATGTTATCTCAGCTTTTTTCCCCCTCTACATGATTAAACCTAAAAAGGTGAAACCAGGCGACGCTTAATATCTAACAGGTTCCTTGGAGGTCATTAGACAAATGTGTAGAGATAAGGTGCACATACATTTATATGCATACATGGAAATGTATGCATATATAAATATTACAAAAGACGTGTATTAAGAGATTGGCGATGATCTTTTGAAGTTTTCTAACTGGTTGCAATGTTGCAGTGGTTGCTTTTGGTTGGACAGTGCTACAGATGCAACCTGACATTTTGTAAGTTTTAATGGAGCAAGCCCAATAAGTAAATAACTAGTTTTAAACTATGGTCGTTACTAAGAACTTATGTAGGACCTGATTATTGCTTGTAATAAAACCTTTTTTCCTTGGGCCTCAATTCGTCATAGGCCATGTTTTGTACAATCTTACCCAGATTATTCTGACCCAGCTATGGTGTTAACAGTAACTGTTAGATAACACTGACTTATTCATGAAGGTGATGGGGTTAAGTTAATCAAGACATTTGAAGCAATTTTTGCTTAATGAAGAGCAAGAGTTGCTTACTCATCTAGATGCTAATTATATATAAATTGCTAAATTTAAGTTGCAAGTTCTTGAATATTAGATGTCTTTCTTTGGTCAAGAGAGTTAACACAAGTTGGATCTGCTGTTGCCGATTACCATCACCCAGTAAGGCCTTTACTTCCTGACATCTACAGACCCATTTGTGGTTCCGGTCATATAAACAAACCAGAAAACAGCAGGAGACGGCACAGTGTATAGGCTTTATATAGTTAAAAGATCTTCAAACCTCATCTAAATTAACCTTTTAGTGAAGGACGAGAGGCAATCCATCGTGCTGCTGTATGCATGAGGACTTTCAATCGGGCTAATTGCATTCAGGACACACAGATGAGAGCAAGACACCTGGACTTACATCCAGTGATACATAAAAACATGAAATCAAGAGGATGTGTCTGTTTATGGCCCTTTGATTCCCCATCTGTCTGTAATGGAAACCCTGTGATTATTGCGGAGCAGTATTTTCAATCAATATCAATATTTTGTAGTTTTTGTAGTAAAGATATATATATGACCGCGTACATTTTTCCCAAGCAATAACCACACGTTTCCCTCTCCACAGATACATAGACAACAAACAAGTCCCCCTTGCCCTGAGTTACTGTGATGGATAATCCATGCTGTTTTAGGCCCATTACCTCGACTGAGGCCTGGCGATTTCCATGACAACGAGTTACTGTATCTCTGTTGAAATCAGTCAGGCTCAAAGCTAATGGGTTATTATTATATGACTGACGACATTGAGTCATTTTCTCTGCCTTGGGCTGATATCCCTCGATTCTGCCAACAACCAGCCCCCCCCCTACACACACATACACACCTCTACCGCCCACCGCTACCCCTCCCACCCACTGCCCAACTCCCACAAAGCCTCTGCACTGCAGTCACAAATGCAATCGAGAGCTTTTGAGTCAGGATGGATTGGACCCCGGCCCTCCCGGATACATTATCACAGGCGATTTGACGTCTCTGGTCGTTGCTGCATCATCGTAGTACGGAGCCATGCGGTTGCAGACTCTTGCTTAGGGTCTCATTGATTGCCCTTTATGACTCAATGGAAATATCTCAATGTGTAATGTCTCTTAACACTTCTGAAGTTTGACAGAGGAGCATGACGTTTTGCCCAATGTTTTGTCCAAGCACTTAAAGAGAGAAAGGATGCTGGACTCCAACAATAAATGAAAGCAAGTGAACTAAAACAATGAAAAAAATCAATTAACAAATTAGTTGAGAGTAAAGCAGGACAGTAATTGAAGGACTTTGGAGTTTTGGCAGCGACCTGATACAACCCTGTCTCTCACAGCCTTAAAACATCTGAGAGAGTGGTGAGCCAGACAGAACAAAGCTCAAAACGTAATCACCCAAAGTAAAAAAAAGTAAGATTAACCATGAACTATGGGATAGAGCATAAAGCACTGCATCCAACACAAACACTATAGAAATGACAGAACCATACAGATGAATAAGCTCTTCTCACATCAACATCATACGTACTACATCAGGTAGTATTTATTGTAGAGCTAGAAGATCACATTAACTTATGCAGCTTGTGTTGTTATATATGACGGATACAATAGTTGAATACGTGGCATGTCTAATGGTTGCATTTTTATCAATGTTGGGCTGTGGGATTTGATTTTTGGTCTTCACAAATCTCCAATCAAGCCAACTTCACACAATTATTTCAAAGTCATCAGATTGCTGTACTGTTCACACTACACAAGTTGCCGTCTTGTAATCACGAGTCTTGAAGTTTAGGTTTTTTTTACACTACCTGACTGACCTGCGACAGGGGGGGGGTCACACACTACAAGATCCTTCATCTTGAATCCCCGGTGAGGTCTCAAAACTACATTTTTGTCACAAAAACACGTGAGAAGTGACACGGGCGTAGTCATGCTGGTTGATGTTGTCACCAGACATGGTCACATAATAGCCTGTTTCCACGTGTCTTTACCACTTCCTCTATGTAGAACAGATTTGGCCCGTTGTTGCAAATGCAACACCAAGCACACTCAGGTAGGCTCCCGGCTCCGTGTCTTGAGCTCTCATTGGTCGTAACTCCCCGACAGATGCAGATATTTAGAATGCTAGACATCTGTAATGCGTCTGCGATCGAGACTCGCATGTTTTGAACAGTTCACACGCTCGAGTTGCCGGTGTGCGAGCGCCTATAGCCAACCCAGATTTGCCCCTGATCTGGGGGTATTGCTCGGGAGCTTCAAAAGCTGGAGTTTCATCTCTGGGGTCTGCTCACAGTTGGACTTCACTTTTTTAGAATCATGGAAGTTTTAGCAGTTTTGCTTCGGTTCTCACAGAGGATAAAGTAAGAACTTTGGTGCCTTGAGGTGATAAAACTGAGTGTTATTTCCTCTGTAAACAGCACCAGAAAATGGGATTCCATGGCTCACACAGACACTTCCATTCCAATACATGAGATATTTATTTTAAGTGTGAAAAAATAAAAGCACCTCTTGTTGTACATTCCTTCTAAGAGCACTTGTGTGCAGTATTTGCTGACATTGTGAGGAGCCAGAGTATATTTAATTTCATTCCAATTGAATAACAAATATTAACCCTTGCCTCCAGAAATAATACAATTTATTTATTTTTGAATAATCTTTTCCTAAATGTTCTCAAAAAGTAAGGTAATATTTCGGAGCAGAGAATATTGATTTTGGTTGATGTTATTTTGAAGACAGAGAACCACCTCCAAATGAAAAGCAATGATTTGAAAACGTTTCCTTGTTCCAGCTACTGAATAAAAATGTGACATGATTATCATTTATATCCTCGGCTCTTGTGTTTCACCAAGTGCAATGCTTAGCCTCTACCTACACACACACACACACACACACACACACACACACACACACACACACAGCAGAGGAGAGACAGGGGGAGTGAAGATCGCTTTGTAGTTACTGGTTACCAATAGGCCCGCTGGTGATTGGTATTATACTATTTGATTCCAGTGGTGGCCGAGTATGATTGTTTCCGACTCTTGTGATCCAAACATTTCCAATAACTTCAGAGCCAGAAGTCAAGAAGAAAATTAAATATACTTCTTCAATCCATATTCGTTTACTGGGGTCAAAACACAGTTTACCCTCACACACTGATGAGTTAGATTCATTCAAAGGTTTTTTTCGGTTGTGAATCAATTAAAAAAATGTATTTAATAAAAATAAAAAAGACTCACTCATTTAATCCAGTGAATCACTTTATTGAAATGATTTTGTTCGAGGAGTTTTTATATTTTTCCCATTCGGTACATGCCTTGTTCTGTGACTATTTGTGTTTCTTATTTTTATGTTGTGGACACTTGTGACAGCTCGAGAAACACTTGTTTGGTAATCACAAGCCTTTGTCTGACTCAGGAGGAAATTGGCTCCAACATGAATTTCTAGGACATTGGAGGTGCCTCCAGGGGATCCGAGCCCAGCTGGAACTGGTCAGTGTCTTATCTGCTTTTTACATGGTGCTAATGAAGGACACACAAGGCAGAATAATCTGTAGAAGCGACACAGGTTTCTTTTTTTGTTGTTGCAGCAAGTGCAGGGCTGAATTCAGATCAGTTAACAATGTAAAAATACTCAATTACAAGGTCCTGAATTCAAAGTGTCACTTAACTAAAAGTACCGAAGTAATGTGACCAAAATGTAGAAAAACAAAAGTGAAGTAAATTTGCTTCAGTGTTACATCATTCAAACATTGTAGGCCTATGATGATATTATTGATGCATTCACGGGCGGATTATGACAGAAATATTCAGCCTTTTATTACAGTGTCTGTCTGATACTTTACCAATTTGAGATTTTTAAAGGAACACTTTGATGCATATTCAAATAGTGGAGGTTTTAGATATTGATGGAAGCGGGTAGGTAGTAGGATTATATCCCTGCACTGCCTGTCTGCAGCGAATGTCACCCACCTCTCCCTCAACAACAGTGCCCTGCTGCCCTTGAGCAAAGCACTGACACCTCCCGCTGGCTGCCGGTATGGTGCAGGCAGCAGCCTGTAACAGTAAAGCAGAGCGGTGCAGCAAATGAGATGTCTTCAGCCTTTCTGTCTCTGAGCGAGCAAACCTCACAGCGAAGCTGTTTGAGTTTGTTTTTTGGTAAGGGGGGGGGGGGGGGGAGCCCATGTGAGATCTTATTTCAAAAATCACGAGTCTGTCTCGCAGCGTTTATTTAACCCTCCCTGTCAAGAAGCACGAGCTCCTAATAATGCACAGACGTGCACCGACGTGCTTTTCAGCCACATGTTTCTTGGCGGACTAAAAGCTGCATTCCGCCCCACCCCTTACAAACATCACCACCACAGTACCTAAATCAGGAAGCACCGTGACACGTTTTTTTTTTCTTCTTTTTCCTTGTTTTCCCCCTGATACGGAGACACTTGAGTGATTACTGCAAACGGCGAACCATAAAGGGGGGAAAAAGGCGTTATTGTTGATGTTGACGACCACCGTCGACCGCTTTTGAAGGAAAGACTGACAGTTGGTTACATCCAGTACAAGGCTCGAGCTGTGGATGCATTTGGCACAGACAAAACCGGAGAAGGGTATGTGCACAGTCGATATGGCCAAATGAACACACACACACGAAAAAAAACAAATACGAGCCGAAAAAGTCCATGTAAAGACAGTCACACACATACGTTACTATCGCCACAACGTTACTGCTTTTTTTGTTGGTGTGTGGGGGGCAAAATACATGGCGTAATGATTGTAAACATGTTATCCACGTCGACTTGTTTACAACGCGTAACGGCCGTTTTGAAGCCCTGCAGGGAAATATGTCAGGAATGTAATTTTCTGGCTCGTCCGAGTCTATCTAAGTCGAGGTGACGGAGTGTTGTTTGATATTATCACTGTCACCAGACAGTGTCACTGCTTTGACAGTGTCGCCCCCACCACCACCTCCACCAATACTACCACCACCGCCCGCCCTGTTGCCTTCTCTCGTTAAACCAATCACAGTTAACAGTCGACGTACGTTTAACGCTTCTTTGATTAGTGGCAATACAACGCGCTGTGCTGAACGAATGTAAAGCCCGATGTCAATCATTAGATGGGTGTCTTCAATTCGGCATACATGGCGCGCGCCAAAAAGGACTTTAACCCAATAAAATTCAGAAATGTATAATTGCTCCGTACTGTTTGCTACCGGAAACCCCAGTGTGCTTGGTTCGCGGTGGAGCCTTGGACCAACGGGACTTATTTTGAACTTAATTAAAAGTGCGTTTTAATAGGCGGGTCATATATGTGCCGAATTTATCAGATCCGCATGAGGATTCTTATAAAGTATAAATAGTGTCGCACGATGCACGTCATCATGCATCACACTGTGTCTTCTTTAAATTTGAAGATTTTAAATGGAGTTTGACATCTAGATTTTGTGGCGCTTTCAATGAGAAATGAACATTTCAGTGTTAGTGGTCTCAAAATATTGTATTTTCTGTCTTGGCCAGTGGATAGACGTGTCAACTGGCTTTTAATCTAAAACATAGGCTACACTGTGTGAAGCCTGGAGGAAATTAAGTATTACATCACTCTGCATCCTATGAGAGGACGGGCCAACAGCAAGCTTAACTTGTTGCTTTACTTTACATAAAAAAAACAGTGAAGGCCTGTATCAGAAACTGTACAGGTGGATTGGCCTAACTGAACAGAACAAGCGCTGACTCTATGACATAATATGGACTGTCGTGTTTACACACGGTCTGTTTCTTTTCAAGAAAAAACAAAGAGAGAAAGTGGGTTTCAATGCAGCGACATGCTCATTTACCACCGCTTCTATACACGGTCTATAAATAAGTACTCACACATGAGTGGCTGCTTGCATCCGAACTGCGCTGATTTATTAAAGCCTGCAGCCCTGGTTGTCCTCTAGCCAGAGAACGCTCGGCACGGTAACCTCTGGCTCCATTGTATACGAACTACATGTAGGTTTAATCCCCACCCTCGCTTTTTCTCATCCTCAGAACACAGAGCAGATCATGTTAGTTGTTCAAGACGGTTGTTTTTTTTCAATACATAACATATCAGGTGCACCGTGTAATGGGATAATTCACCTTGTCACGGTCACACATGGCAGATATCCTTATTGTACGGGTGTTTCACTTTCGACACAGTTTCACTGCAGTGATGGAACTCTCCTTGTGATGATCTTGTAGCTTTTTGTGGCATGTCAAGGATTACTAACGAGACATAAAAAAAAAAAAGCTTGTGTTGACGTGCACGTAGCAGGATGCCAGCAGTTGTGGGTTAACCTTCGCATAGTTTGAGGAGGAGGCTCTGGTGGCCTGCGACTATACCTGAGGTGGGACAGCGGCAGGAATGCATTCCTTCACATTTCACTGGATTTGCTTCAGCTCAGCCGGGAAAGAACATGCCAAGAGGTTTGCTCAGCCGCCGTCACGCGTGTCACTCTGCATTCCTTTGCTTCGTCTACAAGACGGGCTTATACCAGCAGGCCGTGAGTGTCGTTTTGCAGACAGTTAAGCAAAGAAATGTAGGCGTTGTGTTAAAATGTCCCATACTGAGTGATGTTTTCCCACTCTGCCCACTAAATGTGTGTGTGACTGCACTCTATATCTGTGTTTTGCAGGTGATACACTGAGGTTAGTCAACTTCCGTCCTTGCAGACTTACAAACTTCCTCTCTTCTCTCACTTCCCCTCTTGTCTGCGCCTGTTCTTGGCAGGACAGGTTGAGTCACATTACCTGCTGCATGAACACCTCCGCGAATACGCAATAGCTTTGCCCAAGGCGTGGTGCTGCCTGTCAACTCAGGGTGCTTCCCTATCATCCGCAGTGGTGTCACAGCGTGCAGTGTGTCAGCTCCTCACAGAGATCACAGTGGCAGATGGTTCAGCTGAATATTTTGCCACCGGATCCGAGTCAAGAGGTTGTAGCTTGGATTAATAGATGGCAAACCCCAGGTGGCAGCGGTTGTGAATCTCCATCGAGGAGCATTGAGCTTATGCTTCAGGCCCGGGGCTTCATTACTGGGACGGGAGGTGCCCATGCATAACAAATCAAAACAAGGATATGCTTGAAAGGCAATAGCTATACACAGCATTGGACCCCTGGACCAAACCGATTGGTTTGTGTAGTGCCGTTTTGAAGCCTCGAGTTCGGCATTTTGGCCGTCGCCACCTTGGTTTTTGACAGTCGCTATCTTGTTTTTTTGCAATCAGAAGTGATGAGGGAGGGTGGAGACATTTTTTGGCCATCAAAGCATTTATAATTCAATTTCACGAACTCAAAACACACTGTGAAAGTTTCAAAGGATTAGGACAAAAACAGCGACTACTCCCAGACTGAACAACGCCGTGGTAGCGTTCTGTCATTCACAAGGTAGCCCCGCCCTAAAGCATACCCTGCTTCATGGTCTATTTTACTCTATATGGGATCATAATTTACCAAATGAACATCATGCTGTATTGAAGAAAACTTAAACCTAGAGATTGAGACCATAAACTCATGTTTACAATGTTTACTGAGGTAATAAATCAAGAGAGAAGTAAGTTCCTTTTCTCATTGACTTCTATACAATCTGACCTCCTTTTGGCAACCATAGGAGTCGCCCCCTGCTGGAGAGTAGGAAGAATGCAATTATAAGGTACTTCTGCTTTGTCTTCACTTTTCATACCCAGAGGTTGGCCCCTGGTCGGAACCTTTCCACCCCTTTCAAAACAACATCTGAGTGTGTGTACAAGAAAGAGATTGAATGAGCAATTATTTTATGTCAAACAAAAGATGGAAGCTACAGTAAAAAAGCAGTTTCAGACGGGCAGCTGGAACCCACGGGCAAACTTGCTTTAGTTCAGCCAGATGCTCGCGGCTGACTGGTCGCTGAGCTGACAAAACTCTGAATTCACTTCTATCTAGAAGGAGCGGTGATGGTCACGATTGTTTTTTGTCCTTTTTGTGGAGTTGTTATTTTGTCTCTCTGGTTGGGAATTAAGCAAAACACCTTCTAAGAAAATTGTTGAACCATGAATTGTCCTCAACCGTATACTAAGCTTCAGTCACTGTGGCCAAGCCTGGCTGGCTTTCTGTTCTCTGTTTTCAGAACTCCAAATTCTGTGGAGATTCAGAGAAATTCAGATTCAGAGGAAGACAAGCACAGAAGTCTTATTTCTATCAGGAGAAAGACAACTGTTGCTGTCCGACTTTATCTCTATTTGCACAAGAAGATGCCATCCGTCGGGGTCAGATGTTGACCTTTGACCTCAAATCTCTTGTCGAGAGGATAGTCCTTTTTACTGACAGAAATCCAATGTGTAACCCTGTCCTATCACTCTTTCTTGCGTCCTCTCTCCTCCCCTCTACACTCTACACACATTCATAGGCTCCATATTTATTACGTAATTGACTCGCAGTAGAGTGCAGCAACACGGTGCAGTCACTGGCGGCAGCCGGAGGGTTTAAAAAGAAACTGTCTCCTGTCTCGCTTGCACAAGAGCAAACATAAAGCGAAACAAAGGAGCCAGGCAACGGCACACAGACACACACGTGATCCAGCCACTTACAGCTTTAGCGGTAGACTGAAAGAAATAGGTTTGTCAGCGTGTTGTGTGTGTGTGTGTGTGTGTGTGTGCAAGGCAAGCTTCTTATCAAATCAAATATGCATTCAGTGGTTACGGCAGAACACACGTGCACTGTAAGTGCGTCGTTATAAGGTTGGTTGGTGAACGCTGCTGCGCTGCTGGAACAGATCTAGAAAGAAGCTGTTCGGACAGAAATCGTTAGACACTGGCCTGTATTTGAACTTTGTAATGACAACATTACCAGACAGGATGTATAAATCTATGATAATATGATATAACTGCTTTTCTGCTTGACCCTGTCTTAGTGGAGTCCATGACCTAAAAGCCTCTTAAATCCCAACAGAACAAAATCTCACCACCGTGGAGTTTATTTTCCCAAAAGATTATTATTTTTTCATCTTTATGGGAAAGTTGGACTTGAATGCTTGTATTATATACTAGCGGGTGACATTTTTATGTACTAACAAGCTGCAGAGAGAGAGAAAAAAACAATAAAAACGCGCCACATTGTTTACTTGGCTGCTCACATGCATCTCGCCGACCCTCGGTCTGTGGGAGTATCCTTCAGGCAGGGCAAACCCACTGGTGTGAAATCCATTGGAGAAATGTTGCTTTGGCTTTGTTTCTCCAAAATGGAACCACAAACATACTTACTGCAGGGCAATAAACCAAGCCTCAATGTGCCGAATGATATTGTTTCCAAACCTGATTGCTCCCAAGAGTTTTATTGCGGTGGTTGTTGTAGAGTAATCCCTTCTCCCCTTTTTGACAGCATTATAAACCATCTGATCCTGACAGGGAGATTTAAGTTTCAGCAAGATAATATCCCTCTCATCTCCACAGAGCTACAGTCTACAGAGCTACAATAAATAGCTGTACCTCCTCTATCCTCACTGAAAAACAGAGGGATTTGGTTTGGTTTTCACTACAGGTACTATTCCTTTAGCCGTTCTGCAATCTGTCTGGTGGACAGTGCTCTGTTCTCCATTGTTAAGGTGGGAAACTGAAATCTGAAAGAGAACAGAAAATAGGTCCAGTATGTGCTACAAACAGAAGACATAAGGTAGAAGGTTTGTTTGAATGTCGACATGCAGGTTTTTGGCTTTGTCTTTTTTGAAATAATAATACATTTTATTTGTATAGCACTTTAAAAGGCACTCAAAGACACTTTTACATGGTAAAAAACAGAAACAATAGAAGGAATTTCAATGTATACAAAATAGATGACATAATAATAATAAGGAATAGCACAAAAAAAACATACATTTTACAGGTCAAACGCTGATTTAAATAGGTGAGTTTTACGTGCAGTTTTGAAAGTGGGCAGCAATGGAGAAGGCCCTGTCCCCCCCAGGTCCGATGCTAGGGCAGAGTAAGGAGGTTGGCATCGGCAGATCTGAGGTTGCGTTTGGGATCGTGTCGATGCAGGAGGTCCGAAAAGTAAGAAGGGGCGAGGTTATGAGGGGCTTTGTATGTGAGGAGAAGAATCTTGAACTGGATGAGCTGAAAGAGCGACATGTGATGGACAGCTCAGACAGATGATTGCTCAAATGTGCTGCAGACTGTGCTGTGTGATAATGGATTCTTCCAGGTGCTGGCCTGTATGTAGCCGCCCCGTCATAAGAGCTTTTACCATCCTAATGGAGTATTTAAAAGGAAAACAGAAATGTTTCCAAAAAAAAATGCACTCAGACGCACCTGGAAATTAACAGCAAGGCATGGGTTAATTTGTGAAGGAGGGATTACATTTATTTTGCCTTCCTATCTCTGAATGTCTCTGAAAATTAGACAAACAAGTGTGTTCTTTTTTTTTTTTTTTTTTTTGTTACATGCAAAAAGTACAGCTGGACCGTTGTAATTGCAGCCTTGTATCACAGCCCCACCACCACCCCTCCTCTCTGCATCTCGCACTCTATTATGCAACAGTCTTTTGCAAGTCGTTGCAGGATCTCGGCTCTGATTGTGTAACATTCGAGAGCGAAACTGGCTGCAAGGCCTCACGTTGAGTTGAGTTGCATACACTAGAATCCCTGCCATGTCTCCCCCCATGTCCATCAAAGTGTATTTCAGCTTTTACGCTGACAATATCATTGTGGCTCTTTGTTTAATCAACAGGGAGTTTCTTATTTACTTTCTTATTTTTTATAGCTACTTGGTTGTGCTTTCTATGACTGTTACGGCTCAACCACCAGCACACTCAGACACGATTCAACCATTCTCTTAGTTCACGGGCTTTTTAAAATGTGTTGGTGAGGTTTCCAAAAAATATACCAATATTTCTCTGTAGAGCTAATCAATGTTAAGCCCTTATGTATTTGGAGAATGCTAATACATTTTTTTTAAATCACTAGCTTTCAAATTGTGTGAGAAATCTCATGGCTGTCTGTAGCATCCAGTGGAGAATTAGCTGTGTGCAGATGTGTTCTGTTAAGTATGCGCAAAAATAAACCACAGTCCTTTTCTTCATTCTTCTGGCTAAGTGAGATATATACCTATATCCACTAATCTAGAAGCTCTGTTTTCCATTGGAAGTTCATTGGGCGTTTCATTTCTTTAATCTGCTTAAAGCCTTACTGAAGCAGTTGTTGGTGCAACAAGAACCTAAGCGATAACTTGCCACAGAACAAGCGTAGACCTATTTAAAGGAACAATGTGCAACATTTGGAGCATTAATGTAGCAGCAAACAAATATTTCCTATGTTACAATGTAGCAGAGTAATGTGTACCTGAGGAGACTCCCTCTGTGTGTAGTGTTATCCGAGCTACTCCTCGCTTTGTTGACATGGCCGGATGCGTGTACTTGTAGTGCATGTTCATGCATGTGAGCGTGCCCCACTGGCTAGCTTACGGTCGCCGCTCCGCACTCCCGTCATGTGGCGGTTACAGCTGATAACGCCGTCCCGACCCACAGCGTCATGGTGAAAGCTTAACACCAACCCTCCCGTTCCTCTTCAGGTAAACACTGTTAGCTCTGTCAACATGTTTGCCGTAGTCCGTACTGTCAGTGCTGTTGGCACTGTTAGCTACGCGCCGCTGGCTCAGACGTCGACATGTTGAGAGCCGTTGAGAGGCAATCGAAATGCTCCCAATCTCGTATTGTGCACCTTCAAAGTTGGATTAATCAATATGGGTAGATCTAGCACTTGTAGAGCCTAAACACATTTTTTCTTGCATCATCAAAAAGGGCTGTAGCCTTCAAGAGCAAAGAGCTGTTACCAAGTAAACATGAACTGTGTTTCATCGATCTCTCGACATACTTCAGACTTAGTGGTTTTAGTGAAGATTATAAGCATCTACGATTGGGGTGACTCAAGCACTGTTTCTTCACTGGATTTAGTCCAAGCTGCTGAAAACACCGGCTCACGTGGAACAGATATCTCAACATGCACAAATACTGTCATGCCAAACTTAACCGCCCCGGGAAATCCTTTAAGGATTCACATTTTCACATTGACACTACCCAACCCATGACTGGTTTGGTTCACTCTCAACGCCCTCACCAACCTTGTTTCCATCCAAAAAAGAAAAAAAAACCCACTGTACACTACCTGCCCAGCACCATAGAGCATACAGACACAGTTAGCGACTAGCTGGTGAACATAGTGGCAAATACGTGATATGTGTTCACAGTATCTCCGCTGCTTACAAGTAGCCAAACAAAGGGCTGTTAAATGTCCCTCATTAATAAGCTCCTTTTCAGATGCGGCTGCTCTTCTCCGTAGAGAGGCGTCAGTGGGCCACATTATAATCAGAAGAGAAACTAGAAGAGATTTGCGAGTGTTTTTAGCTCCTGGGAGCCTTTTTTAAATTGCTGTCGTGAATGTTGAAGCACTGCTAAAGCTGCTGCCTGTGGTAAACATTGCTCCCCTCTGCTCCCTGTTCAGAGGACAATGTAATGATGTAATGGCATCTCTCAATGCTTTATATGTATTCACTGTGGAAATAAAGTGTTAATACCAGCGTGTGCGTGCGTGAACAGTAGGAAATGAGTAGGTCATGATTTAATCTTCTTTTTATCGTGATTGTTCAAAGGCCTTATTAGCATATTTTTGAATCCTTCAGACTGATTGACCTGTGAGTAGGGAATGTGAGAGGCTCGGTGCATTTGAAATTTGAATAATAAAAAGTGACACATACTGCATTCATGCAGTTGAATTAAGATCATTTTTTCAACATTGTTGCCGTCAGTATGGACAGTTTTCTGTATTCTTGGCTGTGCATCCAGCCATAATGTTCGACGCCTGTTCCAACATCAATGTGGACCATCAACGGAGCGTATATGAACCGCACATTCTTTTGACACATTCCAGAAAAGGAAATAGGTGCCAAATATGATGAAAGCCTTTTTTGATGTCTGGAAAAACTCTCCTGGAAGCCAAAAATGCTCAGTGAGATTATTTGAAAGTAAAGGAGAGGATCTTTGAATTGTGGGTGTAAACTGAGATTTTGATTCATGTGATATTCAGCATTACAATTTGATAAAAAAAAACAATTTTACACCTTTTCTCACTTGCACCTGTTAAGCATATAAACGACAGTTCTTATTTGCCTCAGTTATTGAATTATGAGGATGAAAGTTCTTGCTTGGTTTTGATGTTGTTTGTGAGCTTTGAGCTCAGACACCTGAGACCTGTCCTTACTTCACGTACATTTCTCACTTTCAGGATGTGTAGGTGCTTTTCACAGACTTTGCAGTACACCTGTTTTCTGGAGTCAGTCAGTTCGCTCTCTGTTTTATTGGAGTTATTGCTGCAGCCCTCTAGTTTTACATACTGCTGTTTACACTGTGGAAGAGATGCAGTGACACAGTAATCACTGACACGGTCTCTCATGTGGCCCCCATCTCTTAGTGCCGCACAATTACCTATATTGTAATTCAAGTTTTTAACTATCATTAAAGGGTGTAGTTTAGCAGCAAGATATAATGTAAGATATAATGGCCCCCCTTTTGTTTCCTTTCTTTCCATCACCACCAAACATATATTTAGACAGCACAGCAGCAGGTAATGGTGAGGATGAGACTAAATTGTGGCACCTGTGGCAAAATGATACATTGTTGTTAAAAAATGTTGCATCAGATCTGCATCAAATTCAAGGACGAGGACAGTAAAGTAGCTAAATCACTGGCAGACAGAAAGTGAAGTAAAGCGGAAGTGCCTTAAACTTGCATTCTTTCTAATGGCCATCAGGGGGCGACTCCTTGTTTCAAAAAGAATTGCGATTGTATAGAACTCTATGAGAAAATGACCCTGCTTTTCACTTGATTTACCTCAGGAAACATTGTAAACATGAGTTAATGCTCTTAATCGTGAGTTTCAAGTCTTCTTCAACACAGCATGATGTTCATCCCATTGCATTCTGGAGTTCAATAGCCGATAAAGCAGTGTATGCTTGAGAGCGTGGCATCCTTGTGATTGACGACCAAAAAGGCTTCAAAGAGTCGGATCGAAACCAATGGATGACTTCACGGTGACTACAACCACATATTATATACAGTCTATGGTGTCAAAGCAGTGGTAACTCCGCAGACCATCAGAAAAAGAAACAAAATTTACAAACTGTTGTGCTTTTGCCTATTTAGTTGGATTGGTTTGGGCGACGGGACCGAGGCAGCCCGTAGTGGAGTTTTTCAGACGCCGGAGAGAGCGCAAATAAGCATACTTGGAAGCGGGCCGAGACCCTCCTTTGCTAGCGGCCCCGGTCCAGCTGATTGGTCCGCACCAGGCCTCCGTTGACAGTTTTCACACCAGCCCAAACGAAGCGCACTGAACTGGCAAACGCATCAGTGTTTTTAGAGCTGTGTGTGATACAGTTTCACACTCAAGAGTCAGCCCTTCTTGCTTAGACAAGGATGAGGACACAATGCTCACATAATATGCTGTTTACAGTCTTCTCCTGGTGTGAACACATTCCTCTGTTTTTCTTACAGTCTCTGACACCAGCATGGGCCAGCACCTAGGAAAGAGGGAGTCACCCACAGGCAGCAAGGTAAGAATCCTCGCAGCAGGTGTGTCAGTGTCTTGTTTTGTGCATGTGGAATAACAATATCTTGAAGTGTGTGTGTGTGTGTATCTTTGTCAAAATGATGGCCTGAGAATGAAGCATGTGCTGGAGAATTTTCTTTAACCTAATCAGTGTGAACACTGGCCTTTAACAGCAGGACTTTGGACTCTGTTCAGTCGTTCTGATTTATTGCCTTCATCTTTCAGTCAGACTGTTAACCACTTTACAGTGCGCAAGTCTTGAATGCCTTTTGAAAAAGTCACAGCTTATGTAACACAAACTAAATTCTTCTTTGTGTATTCATCTCAAAGGTCTGTATGCCTGTAATGCTTTTCCTTCAATGTTCAAAAGAGATTTGATATGTTTCTGAGCCGCCTACGTGTTTGTGGTGACTCTCTCACCTACGGCACGGCGGTGATCACACTGCCACAGGCAACTCTTCCTACTCTTCTCTCAGATGTATTGAGAAGCAGTGATCTATGGAATAAAGCACCGTCTCATTGCTTCATTCAGGGATGAGGCGGAAACGACCTCGCAAATGTTGAGTGGATGTTTATCCATATCCATTCATATCTATGCATTATTTTGAGTCAAAGGCCACTGTGCTGGAGTAAGACCCTATTATGACTAGCGCAGTGCTCATCCGTGGGGTGCCTGTTGGGGGCATGATGGGTATCTATGGCTCTTAGGTGTCGCCCTATAACAACCCACTCAAAACCACAAGCCTGGAACATGTAGGAAATAAATAGGTGACTGTGTGCATCAAGGCTGACACTAACACCTCTCCAGGTGCCTATCTCATTTAACCATTAGCTCTTGCCCGGTGGTCATCATGACTCTGTTTGGCTACGTCCACAAAGGTCAGCTGTCTGACATTGATAATATAGCATCATTGTTCCCACAGCAGCAACAATTTGTCGCCATCTAGAAATTGCTGATTTTTCACAGTTTTTCTTTGACAGCGTGCAACGTTTAGATGTTTCAGTGCACTTGCTTCTTGTACTGCTGTTGAGTCGTGCTCAAAACAGGATGAAAGTCTCAGGCGGAAAGACATTATGCTGGCGGATGGATCGTGTTTGCTGCTGTTCTAGGACAGGAAGTAAGATATTAAGTGTGATTTTCTTCTTTTCTCTTTTGTAGCAAACAAAGTCGTTAGGCCCCTCACAATAGGCATTTTTAATTGGCCGGGGAACCAAATATGTTTGAGAGACTAAGTTTGAATCTTTTTTTTTTTGACAAATTAAAAGCAAGACACTATCCTGTGCGCCAAGTATGGAGGAGGATCCGGCTTAAACTGGGACAGTAATGTAATTTAATTACATCATTATGTCAATTCCCCCGCTCTGTTCAAGTCCTTTTTGTCACAGCTTTTCAAAATTACAGCGAATGCAATGGGTTTGGGCCATTACGGCTGAGGCTGCGATCAGATATGAAGAGGTTGCTTGCTTGTTTTTGAGCAGCCCCTCACGCCAGACTCTGAGCGAGGTGGTGTAGAAAGAAAAACAGCATTAGGGGCCGTGGGCTGCAGCGTAGAAAAAAACCTGCGCTCTGCCTGTGTGGTCTGTCTCACGGCCAACTACCTGGCCGCTGCCCGTAATGAGCGCAGTGATCGTGTCGGCTCACTGGGGGTAGAGGGGAGCCCGAAACAGCAGGGAGGTTGATGGTTCGCCCCGCAGATGATTTGTTTCCTTAGTCTGCAAAGCACACTCTGAGAGAGAGAGAGAGAGAGAAGAGGATTCATTTGTCAAGTGAGAAGCTGCCAGGAGAGGTGTTAGGGCTGCATGTCTTGCCAAAGCCACATTGTTTATTCAGCTTTATAATTGTATGTCTCTCTGTGACTTACTTTCCCCCTCTCTTTAGGCATGATTATCAAGACATCAAAGTCAATATAAAGGTCTGGCAAAACAGCCAGTTGTCATAGAGACAGTTAAGCAGGAACACAGCGGGACAGAGTAAAGCAGGTTGTGTTCAGGTGCTGTTGTCTTGAGTCGTGATCCCTTTCCCAGTCCCTTATAATTTCGGGAAGGGTAAAATGTACCCGTGCCTCCTTTGTCACACCTCCACAGCAGCTCTGACAAATATCTCTGACATTTTCACACCGCCGATATTTCACAGCCTTAAATCCCACTCGGAATAACACCGACCTTGTTGTGTTTCTGCCAGAGTAGAAACAAAGGCACATTGCATTTTGGTTGATTTAACTGAAAGAAATGCATCAGCGCACTTTTTTAAAATGACTCCACTTGCAATGAACCATGCATTTCTGACACCGTGGTGTTGTATGTACAGATCACTGGCAGCCAGAGACTATGTTACATATCACGGTGAGATATTTCCTGCCCAGCTACAGTGAGAGGGAATTGATTTTTCTTCAGCAGGAAACATCAGGATGTGGTCTCAAGGCTGCAAAGTTGTAGTACACTTTTTTTTTTCTTACCATTTTCTACTGATGCTGAACTACCAGAGAGAAATCCATCGCGGGGAAGATAGAGAGTGCACTTTTCTCAGCTTGGCAAAAGAACATGAAAAAGTGACACTCTCTCTGGCTGTTGATACATGATTGCGCTTGTGATAACCATCACCAGTGCTCTCTCCACTTGCAAGTATAACCTACAATTCATAATGTCAGATGGTGTTATTTGGGGAAATGTAGGAAATCTCAAACAGGTCAAGAATGAGGTTGTTAGCTATTTATTTTTGCAAAATACAGAAACAACTTTAGATAAGGTGCATTAAGGAAAAGTGGGTGCAACTCAAAATATTACAACCCTTTCAAGAATTAACAATGAACTAAACTAAGAATTGCATACTAGAATGCATTGATGATTGACAGCAACAAAAAGAGTCTCAACTTTAAGATCAGCTTATGTTAGATCAGATATACACACGGTTTAATCTAATCATTACACTTTTACTCCTTTGAGACAATGATTTGTCCCCCAAACTAACATGGAATTCCCTCTACCTAGACTGCCTATCCCAAACTAATCTACCTCACTGAACCCTAGTCTTCATGCAGATTAGCGGTAGGCTTTTTAAACACTCAAACCAGTAGCCCGGTTAGGCCCCCAGCAAGCTGGTTCCTCACCTGACAGCTCCGGCTGTGTCCCCGAAACATCTGGTCTGACCGCACACCACACAAAAATAACAAATCAAAAAAACAAACCAACGCAGCCAAACGGACCACGTTGCTTCACCTAACCAGGGATGCTCCACAAGTCAAACTAACACACTAGAGGACCATGTACTCACTGCTGCTAGTTCACACCAGCCAACTCGTGTAAACACACGCTGGCTGCAGGACCAACCTCAGCTGCCAAAAAAATAAATGCATCCTCCAAACACATTGTGTGCTGGACCAAACCATTACTGTTCAGAACCAAATATCAGCCTCAAGCCAATCAATTTTGGACGGACGAGCCCCTACTTGTCACAAACCGGGCCGAACGGCCATGACGAAAAAGGGAGATGCATTCAGTGAAGCAGCTTAACAATTATTTATTAGGTTTAAAGTAACATAGAAGACAAACATAAACTAACAGTGACATGTGAAGTCAGTAGTTTCAGCAGTGTAAGTGGGTGGGTGCGTGGACAGTGTATATGCAGTGTTGTATAGTGTAGAAACCAACCAAAACCAAAATGGGTGTCTCAGGAAGGGGAGAGCGACCCACTGAGAATCCAGAGGGTTTTTAATACAGGGTGCACTGACACACAGGGCCAGTGTTGCTAATGGCCTCAGGTGTTTCCGCTCTGCCTAACGACCCTCTGCCACACCCACCTCCAACACCTGCAAAGAGAGCAGCCAAACGAGCAGGCAGACGGGGCAGAGAGGGTCGTCACAGAAGGCTTTATATGTGGTCCACCAGTTCAAAACCGCTTCACAATATGATGCTACTTTGTCAATCCTTCCATGATGTTAGTTGTGATTGAGGCATAATACTGGAACTACTAAATCGAAGACCGCAGTCTCCAGATGAGGGAGCTTGAGGCTCAGCTAGCAGACCTCAAGGCTTCAGCTCTGCTATTGTACCCAATTAGAGAGCTCTGTGTGGTGTGACCAGCCCAGCAGGCTTGTTCTTTTCTTTTCTTTTCTCTTTCTCTGTGGGAGATCTGTCTTCATCTGAATCATAATTCCACTTTTCTCACCTCGAGCCCGCTCTGTACTCTGTCGTTACCGAGAATAGCACTGCTTGGCTCACAGTCTCATCTATTTGAACAACAAAAGTAAGTGCTTGTTTGGAAGAGATAGTATGAAGCTGGCCTTTCAAAGCTACAGACAGTACAGTGTGTGTGTGGTGCTCTTTATATCTTAGTGATAAGGAGATGATCCAATCCATCTCCGAAGTGTGAACAGGATGAAACACTGAAGGGCACAGCTATCACCAAACCACAGATGGTGAAGAGTATTACTTGAAAGTCTCCAATCAGCCGAGCCCTGAAAAGGTGTTCGAATGGCTGCACTCTTCTTTCCCTCTACCTACTCAAGGCACATTGAACCCCATACACCACCCTTAGTACTGAATGGAGATCAGAGGGCTGAGTGGAGCTGCAGCAGGAACCCCCATAGCTGAGTGTTCCAGTCTGAGACACCCGTCAAACAAGCAAATATGCTCACAAACATTAGCGTTGATATCTTTTAAGCAGAACAAACAGCCAAGACACTCGTATACAGGGATAAAGGTGGCAGATTTTACATTTTAAATTCATATTCATTGTTGAAACAAAGAGTCCTTGATTCCAGAAAGAGGTCGCCAAAAACAGGCTTCTCCTTTTTAGCTGTGGCTGGCAGATTTCTTTGGCTCTTGCTAACTAGCTAATTAAGCTAATGTTAGCTCAGTGAGTTTGTTAAAAACACTGCTTGCATTTTAAAATTAAAATCTTAATGGCTACATGCGCGATATAGAAAAACATCAGCTTTAGCCTGTTAGACAGGCTAAAGCTGCCTAACAGGCATATATATTACAACTGCATTGTTCTTGTTTTTTTAAAGTGTCGAGATAGTTAGTCTTAGCTTTCTAAGAGAAAACATAATGGTTTCTTCACACCAAGTGAACCTTTCGTGCAATGCGATTACATACAAAGTCAATGAATGGACACAAATTGGTGCCGGGGAAATTTGCGTGTTCACCAAGCCCTCAGGAAGAGCGCCAGGATTGGAAGCAAATTTAACAGAGTGGCCAAACCATGGAATTATAACCTCCTCCTCCTTCACGCCCCAAAAAGGCTTTTTCCACATTGACTTACATGAGGAAAGACACGCCGTCTGTTAATCAGCAAATAATTGTGTTTATGTATGAACACTTGATAACCACTTTTTAAATAATTAGGTCCTGAAAGTTTCAAAATGCACTGCACACAATCCGGCATTACTATGTAGTTATGTTGGCAACCGTTTCAACAAGTAGTAAATCTGTGGCTTGCTAGATACAACTCTGAGAAATTCACCGAAAGTGCGCTTGGCGCTATTCCAACGCACTCGGCAAGGCGCCCTTGACTGCAATCTGCTGGGATCATGGGAACACAGAGCTCAGTCTCCGCATCACGTAATATCCAGCAGGGATAGAAATGGGGTGTTTGAGTCAAGTGCCTGAAATAATCATCAGATTAAAAATGATGGGGCAAAATCCTGTCCATATTTTATCAGTTTCACTTATGTCAAGATACAAATGTTTATTTAATTATATTTCAAAAGGCCCCCTAAACCTCATTACTTGCGGATTCAGTCCGATGAGTTGCACCAGCCTCCAACAATATCAGTTCAACAAGCATCCAATCATCAGCGGCTCAGCTCCAGGAATGTGGATTTGTTATTTGCATTGCTAATTTTCAACATTTACATAAAGTGCAAGGCTGAATTGTGATATAAGACAGCTGTCTCTATGCGTGTGTGTGTGTGTGTGTGTGTGTGTGTGGACAAAATCCAACAAAAGTTGAATACTGAGAGCCTTACTCATGGGAAGAAATGTTGATGTGCTCGACAGACTGTGGGAATGCAGTGATAAGGTGAGCTATATCAATGCAAATGTCGTGCAATTTCGGTGGCTGTGGTTTGATCAGATTGGATTTGAGAGTGGTTGAAACAACCCAACCCAGCTGAGACCCGCACACCTCAAAACGGTGAAAAGAGCACAAAGAATCCAGCATTGAGCCTGTTGATTGAATCCGAATCTCATTGTGTCAAAACAAATTTACATTCATTGTTTGATGTAATTGTTTCAATGGACAAATAAAATTTCAAAAGCGCAGCACATTGTTGACCTTTTTATGTGATTTGCATCGGTAAGTGCTTGCTCACCACACTTGTCCACCTCCCCTCAGCTCACAGGAGGACGTCACCGTTGCTCTCCTCCCGTATGCTCATGTGATTGTGAGCGGTGTGCCCACAGTTTTTGAATGCCAGTGTTGATTCCCGATGTTGGCAAGCCCACTCGGAAGCGGAAGCTGGGGCTGCATGAGTGTACATTGTCATCAGGGAGGAGGAGGGAATCCGTAAGAGGATTTATAAAATGTGAGGATTAGCATATGCAGATATTTAGTTCACTTGGAACCACTAAATAGAAACAAGTAACTTTAATCGTCATATAGCTACAGCAAGAAATGAACATGACATAAGGGACTTACAGGTAGGTATAACAGTTCAGCCTGCATAATCTTTAATTCATGGCTCGTGAAGAATCAGACCAGAGCTGCCCGGAGTTACAGCTGAATCAATACTTGCGTACATCTGGAAAGCCTGATAAGACAGGCTTATGTTTCCATTGAAAGATTAAATGGTGTCCTTTATCTTTATTTTCCTCAATATAAGCTTCCCCTCAGTGACAGCAGCAAAAGGTGACCTGTCCTGCTTCAAACGGAGCTCTGCACTGACTAAATCTACCTCCGAAGTACATCAGAATGGATTTTCTAATAGACATCAGCCTGCTGGAAATAATTTTTGGTGTTTCTGTAGTTGATTTCAAATAGATGCGATTTAATTACATTTTAATTAAACCACAGAATTTGTTTCAAGATCTGTATCAAATTGTTTTCTGAAGGAGAGATTCAGCAGACATGACTACTACTTAGTCACAGTACCACAGCAGCAACTACAGCTATCATATCTTTTTGACTCCTTGATGAAGGCTTTAAAGGATGAAAGTCGTCAGAGTTTGTTTTTAGGTCTACATGTACTTTTGCTGAGAAGGGTCTCTAATGTCTGAAGACACAACGCAATTACAGAAGTAATAACCCAGTTGCTTTACAGTATAAATCCTTTCAGATGAATACAACTGATGAAACATTAGATATTCAGAATTGGCATCAAAATGGGCAAATCTGATTCATAAAGTGTAGCACCTTCTTTTCAATGTTAAATGAATGATGAATGGGTCTCTGAGCATAATTCTGCTGCAATTACAAAGCCCGAAAGCCTAAATACTGTAGATGTAACTATCCCTCTCTCTCTCTCTCTCTCTCTCTCTCTCTCTCTCTCTCTCTCTGTTCTCCGTCTTTGCTCCGTTGCCATGGCACCTCAGTGCCTCACCTCTTCAATCTGTTTTTGTGTTCCTGTTAAAGGCTCCGTCACCTGAGCCTGAAGAAGTGGAGATAGCAGCAGCAGCAGCAGCAGAAGAGCCTGAATCACCAGATGAAGTCTTTGGTAAGGGGTCAAACCACATTTTGAATTCCAATTTACATGCATGTTGACATTCCTCCCAGTGTTAAAAAACAACTGACACTTGTTTTTATCCCGTCAACCTCGGAATCTCCAAAACCATCAATAGAACGTATTGACTGTAAATGTGCAATAACACAAAACAAGCTCCTCTTCTAACTGGAGACATTACAACTAATCTACTGAGGATGTTTTTAGAATATAGATTATGTGGGCATTTCAGGTTAGCACAGTGGGAAACATTGAAATGTGAGATCAAGAAATCCGCAGAACCTGAAATGACAGCCTTAACTCCACATGCACATGGTAGCTCCTTCAACTCAGCTATCTTGACTCGATGTCTTTTTTGTTCCTCCTCCACAACAATGAAAGGCTTCTGCTTCACAACACTGGCTCAAAAGCTGCTAATCCAGCTAATAAAGCTGCATGACATTAGTTTGGAGTGATTTGTTAGTAGAAGTTTTCCCTCTGACACGTCCATTGTGATGTGTGCGTGGTTAAAAAGAGCCGTTGTAATACCGCAGCTCAGCAGATGAAAGCAGAGTTTGTTTACATTAATTTGATTGATTTCAATGCAAAATATTTTTACAAATTGGGATAAATTGGATCAGCCAGGAGGAAATAGCAATTGCTAGTGTAAATTTGCTGAATTCTTCTTTTATTAATGAGGCAACAACTCTGATTTAATTCTAATTTGAGGCAAATCCAAATTGGATTTTCTGCTGGGATATATACTGTAACTCATGCATGCTGCGTGCATAATAAATCAAGCTGTGTTTAAAAAATAAATAAAAATACAACAGAAAAGCTCCATCAAAAGTTGCAAGTTTACTTTTCCCATGAAACCAACATCCTCGATGTCTTTTTGTGCCACCTTGAATGAAACCATCGGTGTCACTGAGGCGTCCTGGAGCTGAGTGAAGATGCAACCTCCCAGATACCTCACATACAATGTGTGCAGTGACCAAATGCCCCAAAGCCAAACATCACTGTCTTACAGTGTGTCGGCTTCTCATAGCTGAGTGTTGGGGAAAAATGTAATCGTGCTAAATAAAGTGTAATAACGAGAGGGCAAGTTAGCTGTTCATTCTGCAAGAGAATAAAAACCCTTAAGACGTTGACCACGTCTGTGTAGGAAGAGCATGGAACGTTCAAGAAATAGGCAAAGGAAGACAAGCGCAGTCTGTTTTCTCCCTTCTGTGTCAGTCTCGATTGTTTTCAGGGTGAGCTGTGGTGAAACGCAAGCGACAGGAAGGATTTGGCCATGTGTACTGACTAAAATAGCTGCAGCACAAGAGATATCAGTTTGATTGTAACTGCTTCTCTGAGTGTGTGTTTGCTAAAGGTTTGGATAGACGATATTTAAGGCTTAAAGATTTAAAAACATTACGTTTCCCTTCTTCTTGCTCCTTCACAGAGCAGAATCGCCTCTGAAAATATGAAGTGGATTCATAGGTTACTGCTGGGGTTAAACGATAAGGCTGTAACTCAAATTATTAGCAATGTCACTAGCAAATTGACTCAGTTGTAACTGATTAAAGCAGATTGTGTGAGTTGGCCAAACTACAAAATGTCTGACTATTTAACTCGTTCAAAGATTGTTTGGTGGAGAGATTGTGAGGTTTGAAAAGATAAACTGTGCCCTTCATGCTCAAAAAGTGGCGAGTCTTTTTCCAGATAGACACTACTGCCTCCTACTGTACGCGCTTTCTGTAGGCGTGATCTGCAAATTCGTAGCTCCCTCCTCTCCGATAACGGAGGTCACCCGGTACTACTCTCATAGCCTTTGAGCGGGGACATCTTCCCTTTCGCAGCGTGGGACTGGAGGTGGTGTCTCTCCCGGAGAGAGAGCGTGATTCTCTACTCTTGATTTGATGTGGAGAACAGTGCCGTCCCGTCCCTCCATCTGCAGGTGACTTCCAGCATCAAAAGACCAGGAGCACAAACCCATCAGGGTTGTTGCTGAGAATGTTGTAGCTCAGTCGTGGCCGCATCAAACATGTATGAGATGAGTTCGACGCTGGCCTCATCATGGAGGACTGTTTTGTCTGCTCTGCTGACCACAGTGATGGGATCTCCTATATAGTATGCCGTGTGTCCACAGGGGCTCGCAGAGCCTCAGCACGTCTCCTCGGCTCTTCTCTGCCTCTGAGCTACAACTGAGGATATTATTTCGCCATAAGTCATGTTATTCTAGATTGTTAGGGTACTTGTCATTGTTGGCTTCAGTACCTTGTAATGTGAGTCAGAGTGGAGGATGATAGTCGGTTATTAACCAAAGTAATTTCAAATACATAAGTTATCCGTCCAATCCAGTTGATTCAGCATAGCGATTGGAACACCGACTCTTTGAAGTGAGCTAGATCCTATGGCTCCATTATTTTCTGAGAGCCGTTGAAAAGAACGGAAAGAGCTTCTTTATCTTTTTCTTTGTCGTAGAAGGCGAAAGTGCACAGCGCTGCAATCTGTCAATTTCAGCACAAGCATTAAACTCGCTGCTCACACCAGCTCGGGCACATTGTTCCCTTCCGGTCAACTAATGATTCTGCTCTTCTGCTCCGCCCCTACCTTGCTCTCACTCTGTCTCTGTCTGTCTGTCTGCTTGTGTGGTTGCGTGTCTGGCAGCGCCAGAACGATACCAATATAATGGACGTCTCTCAAGTACAACTCGTTGGAAAAATGTCGGTGTTTGTCAAACGTCACATTGCTAATTCATCGTGTTTATAGATATCTTATAATTTCTAACCGAGTCTCCCATTACAGACTCAATAAAGTATTGATTATTATTATACAACAAATACCAAATCATTTAGACTGCATCAGATGACGGATGCACCAACCAAAGGATTTTCAAAGAAAGGTCAATATTGAATTTTATGCAAAACTAATTTCTATGCCCATCAAGAATGTGCAAGAGTGTGCCTGCATGCATGATTGAATTCGGTCCATATTGATGTACGGTCACGGGAGTTTTTTTGAGTATGTACACATGTCTCCTTGTGCAGAGGGCAACTGTGACTATCTGCGGTTTCACTGACGCTTTAATATAAACAGGAAAGTTATATCTTGCAGAGGCTTCGTCACATTGATCTCTTGGCTACTCCATACACTCCCTCTCCTGCAGTTAATTGATGTTCCTCATGTTTAACACTCGCCATTGATCAGCGCGGAGCAGACTTAGAGGAGCCACGATTAACACAAGTGATACTTCAAAGAAGCCATGCACCCGTGAAATTACTTCTAACCCTCGTGGGACAACATGGTTACCAGGCATCTTCTGTCACGTACGTCAGATACGTCACTGTTCTAGTAAGCAGGCTGTCTTACTGCTTCAGCTATTTAATGGCACGATGCTTTTGTTGTTCTTACACTAGTCCCTTTGCGGACCTCCGCTTCCTCACACAGGCGCTTTTGGCAGCTTATGATAAGAACAGGAATGAATTAGGAGGCAGGTTTAAGATGCGATCTTTTAAAAATGGAAGGTAAGCAGCTGACTGTAAACGGGAACTGACTGTGGTGTCGACCACGCTCATTCCGGTTTTCTATAGAGTTTGCTCCAAAGTGAACATTATACGGTTTGTTAAGAGGGGTAAGTGGAAATAAAAGCTCTATCATAGTGTGTGTTATGTTTGATCGTTATTGATCAAAGAGCTGCTTCAGAGCGCTGCAGTGCAGTTTCCATTTTGCTTAATGTTTAACTGGTTCTCTGCTCAGTCAGCACTGCTTTTCTGATGGTGTGTAAAAATCCCATTTTCTTATCAGCTCCTCACTCTTACTGAGGGAACATTGCTGTTAGGATGCATTTAAAGACTTGCTCTTACCTGTGCATCAAGGCTGAAGTAATTCAGCGCCATTAGGTTGATTCAGGGGGCGGGCAACATGAAATAAAAGGAATTGCCGCCAAATTGGGACAATGTGAGTGGTTTATGACGGGCAGGTTAGCTCTGCTTTATTAGAGCCTGTTTTGGTGAAGTGGTCATCAGCAGGCGTCATGACTCAGTCCGGCGTCTGGGGATGTCTCCATGCAGCACTTCCTGTTTGCACTGCTTTTCCACTGAAGGGCAAACACCACCATCAGCTGTGCGGCTGATAAAAGCCCATTACGGCCCCATTACCTGGGCCGGCCTGCAGCAGGCCCCCGCTCAGCAAAACTTACCCCCTCTATGTATCTGCCTGTTGCGTCCTGACTCTGTCTGGGTCATTGTTTCTTCATCATCACAGGGTAAGAAGAAATGGGGGGGGGGGCCTGAGTAAGTGTTTGGATTGAAATGTGCACCACATAATCCTCCAAGCTGCTACTTAGGATATATACAGTACTTTAGAATGTAAACACATTATTCATTTTCATACCTGGAATTCAATTCTTCTCCACAGTGAAATTGGTCCCATTAAGACTTCCTCCTCTTTAAAGAATGGTGTGTCAGGAATGTGAAATGTAGAAAATAGGTTGAAAACTGGCATTGTCCTTTTAAAACAAAGTAGATCACAAGGACAAGCACTTATTATATATAAGCTGTAAGACTGTCTGGTTCATACAACAGAAACGGGTTTTGTCTCCTTTTTAAAAGATTGTCCTTCCTTATCGTTGGTTTTGTTGTCGTGCTTCAGCCTCTTCCTACACCCACGCTCATGAAAATGACTTTAGTGAGATGAATCAATATGGGTTCAGCCTGCCTGAGCTCTAACATCACATACATACATCAGTTCACGTGCAAAAGAGTTGGTTATATGAAGAAAACAAGTTGACATTAATTTCTTAATATTCCTTTATTTAATTCAAGTATAGATCTCAGCACACAAGGGCTTATAGCGTATTTCCTCCTTTTGTTGTCCAGCTTTGCGTGTTTCCTCACAGTATCATGTACGCCTTCACCACAAGGACGAGAGGAACGAGCGAGAGACCAGATAATCACTCGATTGCATTCAGTCAGCAAGTGAGCACTCCTGAGTGAGCCCAGAGGACCTCTTGTTTAGCCTCATATCAC